TAAGATATAGGATAATGAATACTCAGAAGGAGAAACTAAACAAGCAATTCCATTTAGTACTGCAACAAAAAATTAAAATACTTAGAAATATACTTAACCATGCAGGCAAAAGACCTGTAATCAGAAAACTACAGGACGTTGAAAAAGGAGATAGAAGATATAAGCAAGTGGAAGAATGTATCATGTTCATGGATGGGTAGAATCAACATCATTAAAATGTCCATATACCCAAGGAAATCTACAAATTCAATGCAACCCCTATTAAAATACCAACAGCATAGTTTACAGAGCTAGAACAAATACTCTAAAATTTTATGTAGAACCAAACAAGACCCTGAATAGCTGCAGCAATCTTGAGAAAGAAGAAAAAAGTTGGAGGAATCACAATAACAGATTTCAAGTTATACTACAAAGCCACCGTAGTTAAAACAGCCTGGTACTGACACAAGAATAGGCATGTAGATCGATGGAACAGAACAGAGACCCCAGAAATTGACCCAAGCCATTACGCTCAATTAATATTAGACAAAGGAGGCAAGAGTATATAATGGAATCAAGAGAGTCTCTTCAATAAATGGTGTTGGGAAAATTGGACAGATACTTGCAAAAAAATGAAACTAGAACACCAACTTACACCATACACAAGAATAAACTCAAAATGGATAAAAGACTTAATTGTAAGTTGTGAAACCATAAAAATCCTAGAAGAAAACATGGGCAGCAAAATCTCAGACATCCCTCGTAGCAAAATGTTTGTGGGTATATCTCCTAGGGCAAAGAAAACCAAGGAGAAAAATAAACAAAAGGGACTATATCAAAATAAAAAAGCTCAGCATGGCAAAAGAAACCATCAACAAAACAGCGGGTACCCACTGTATGGGAGAACATATTTGGCAATGATACATCTAATAAGGGGTTAATATCCAAAAATATATAAGGACTCATACAACTTAACAGGAGTAAGACAAACAATCCAATTTAAAAATAGGCAAAGGACCTAAATAGACACTTCTCCAAAGAGGACATACAGGTGGCCAATAGACTTATGAAAAAATGCTAAGTCACTGATCATCAAGTGCTGGTGAGGATGTGGAGAGATGCAAATTAAAATGACAATGAGGTACCATCTCACATCTGTCAGGATAGTTACCATCAACAAATGACAAGTGCTGGTGAGGATGTGGAGAAAAAGAACCCTAGTACATTGCCAGTGGAATGCAGACTAGTATAGCCATTATGGAAAACAGTATATAATTTCCTAAAAAATAAATATGGAACTGCCATTGGACCCAGTGATCCCATTTCTAGGAAAATATCCTATGAAACCCTTAATACAAATCAGAAAGAATGTAGGCATAAGATCTGAAAATAGCCCAAGTATCCATCAGTAGATGAATGGATAAAAAAAAGCTGTGGTTCATATATACCATGAAAAACTATGCAGCAGTAAAAAAAAAAAAAAAAAAAAAAAAAAAAAAAAAAAAGAATCTCTCACCCTTTGAAACCTGGAAATATCATGCTATGTGAAATAGGTCAGTCAGAGAAAGACAAGTACCACATGCTCTCACATGTGCAATCTTAGTAACAGAAACAAAATGAACTAAGTAGATCCTGAGACCTGAAGCATGGGACAGAGCGCAGAATCTGGGAAGGATGGTGGGGGGTGGGGGGGAGGAGGTAATCAACCATGGACCTTTTATGCATATATGCATGGCCCAAAGACACAGGGTGGGGTGGTCCTGGGTCTGTGGGAGATGGGGGGAGGTGGAAGTGGGCTGGAGGGGGGTCAATGGGGGAAAAACATATGTAATACTTTCAACAGTAAAGAATTATTTAAAAGAATAAAAATAAAATCTGTGGTCATAAAAAAAAAAAAAATTATACTTTCAACCTGGCCAGGTAGCTCAGTTGGTTAGTGTTGTCCCAATATGCCAGCCGAGGTTACAGGATCAATCCTGGGTCAGGACACACAGAACCATCAACCAATGAATGCACAAATAAGTGGAACAACAGATTGCTGTTTCTCCACCTTTCTTCCTTCTAAAATCAATTTTTTTAAGTTAAAAAAAAAAAAAGCCATACTCTCTCAACAACAACGGTTTCATTGGAAAAGAGATGCTAACATTTTTTTCTTTCTAGGCTTTGTGTTCTTTGACAATATTCCTAAATTCATAAACCTCAGTTGACTCAGAAAGGAGGTAACAAGTGTCATATATCTTTAAAAAATTTTTTTCTTTAGTCCTCACCTGAGGATATTTTTCTATTCATTTTATAATATTTTATTATTTTCCATTAGAGAGAGTGGAAGAGAGAGGGAAAGACAGAGAAATAACGATGTGAGAGAAACACATTGACTGGGTGCCTCCTGCAGGAGGAGCCTGCAACGGAGGTACATGCCCTTGACAGGAATGGAGCCTGGGACCTTTAGGTCCGGCAGCTGACGCTCTCTCCTCGGAGCCAAACTGGCTAGAGCAAGTGTCATATATCCTGTTAAGGCATACATGTTTAGACCACACACACATGCACTTTTTGGAAATGTATCTAATATACTAGAGGAACTATTTCAGTCTTTAGATAGTAAGAAAGGCAAAAGCTGTTCCAGACAGCTGGTTGCTGGCTCTCACTCCCTGCCAGCCCTAGATATATCTTGTCACACATGTCCATGATCAGACAGAACTAAGCCATGACCACGATGAATCAAGACAAAGGCAAGGACACTCATGTCTGTATACCTAATCAAAGAGCACAGTTTCCAAAGAACAAAAAAAGACCCAAATTCCCCTTTTCTCACTCATATGACTTCTTACAACTTAGATTTAACATTGTCATTCTTCCTGCCTTTTAAGTGAAAATGAGTATCATTAGCCAAGACAGAAGTTCATTTCCTCAGAATCCAATGCAGAAAAACGTCTTGCTTCCCCCAATAGCAAATTATCTATCACAAGGCAAAACACAAGAAACCCTTTTTATTCTTTCCTATTGACTTTTAGGGAGAGTAGGAGAGAGGGAAAGTCAGAGAAAATATTAATATAAGAGAAACACATCAGTTGGTTGCCTCCTGCATGTGCCCTGATCAGGGTCCGAGCCAGGGAGGAGCCTGAAATGGAGGTATGTGCCCTTGAGCGGAATCGAACCCAGGACCCTTTGGTCTGCAGGCTGATGCTCTATCCGCTGAGCCAAGCTGGCTAGGGCACAAGAAATCCTTTTAGCCCTAGCTGGCTTTGCTCAGCAGATAGAGAATCCGTCTGCAGACTGAAAGGTCCCAAGCTCAATTCTGGTCGAGGGCACATAGATGGGTTGTGGGCTCCATCCCCAGTGGGGGCATGCAGGAAGCAGCCAATCAATGATTCTCTCTCATCATGGATGTTTCTATCTCTCCCTCTCCCTTCCTCTCTGAAATCAATAAAGTGTGTGTGTGTATATATATATATATATATATATATATATATATATATATATATATATATATATAATTTAAAAAAAGAAAAAAAAAGAAATCCTTTGAAATGTGCTGTTAATCATTTATGGTTTGTGGTCATTCTTATTATTTGAATTACATGTCTCTTTTACTACAGATGTGATTTTCTTGATCTTTCACTGGAGAGAAGAAAAAAAAATTACTGAAGTTTTTAAATGTATGAATAAATAAGAAAGATGTAAAAATTTTTAAGTAAACAAATTAAAAATGTAATTTGCTTCAGGAAAACATGTCTGAATTTGAATTTGTACACACATGATAATTGTGAGTCAGAATGTATAATGGTTAAATGGGGAAATTTTCAGATTTAATAATGTAAATCTGAAATTACATTATTACAATGGAATATTAAATATATCCTCAGAAAATAAAAACATAATAGTTCTTAGCATAAAAGTACTTTGGAAACAGTTAATATTTCTTTAAGAAGAGTCATTTATTAGAGAAAAAATGCACATAACTTTAATCACATACAAAGATAACTGAAAACACTGAGAGATTACACTCAGCTCTGACAGACAGGAAACATCCAGAGTCTGCCTGAAATGAGGAAAGTGCCGATTCTCACATGGAAGGACTGGCTCAGAGCCCTCACTGCAGAGGGCGGCACAAGAACAAACTGTCACGGGGCTCCTTGGCACTGCACCACTGCAGCTATCACAGTGGGATCTGAATCACAGTCAGCAGTAGAACCAACAGGACAAGATGATTACCAAATTAGACCTCATGCAAACACAATCTAGAAAAGAGAGCGCACTCTTCAAAACACAGCCCCAACCATGACAGTCTACGTTTGTTGCCTGGTGGACACCTATGGGCTCCCAGGAAAAGCCAACCTAGTATGCTGGATCTTTAATGTTGAATTGTGAACATGAAGGGAAGTGAAGCAGTTGCTGGTGGTTTTGCGGATATTCTGGGCTGGTAGGGCAAAGATTGAGAACACAAACGCAAAGTAAATATACATAAAAGCTCGACGCTTCTATCCACCTCCTCCACACACGTGGCTTCAAAACCAATCTATTCCTATTTCACATCTGCATTCAAGTTTCATGGAACTGAGGCCTTGGTGATTTCTAACACAGAACCATAATGGCACCAGATTGTGGAAAATGAAGTTCACAACCTTCCTCACGTTGACCTAACAGAGTCAGGAAGGGCCATCTCTGCCTCTAGATCTTATTGTCCCATCACAGGTCTTCTCTCTCTCTTTTTTTAATATATATTTTATTGATTTTTTACAGAGAGGAAGGGAGATAGAGAGCTAGAAATGTCGATGAGAGAGAAACATCGACCAGCTGCCTCCTGCACATCCCCTACCGGGGATGCGCCCGCAACCAACGTACATGCCCTTGACCGGAATCGAACCCGGGACCCTTCAGTTCTCAGACCGACGCTCTACTGCTGAGCCAATCTGGTTTTCAGCAGGTCTTCTCTTCTTAATGCAAACTTCATAGTCCAAACCCAGTCAAAAGTGAAGGACTATAGTTGGAAAAAATTCACATGAGGCTCTACAATGAACTTTGCATATGTACAAATATATCGCAAATATTTATTGACTTAAATAATACTGAATGTCAACTGTAGTGGAAAAGTTAAAAAACATATTTACAGAAAAATGAAGTAAGGCTCTTCAAGCCAATGAAAAGGCACTTTTCTGTTAAAATAGACTATATATATATATAGGTGAGGCATATTTATTCAATATTTGTCACAGGAGGCCAGTAGGGAAAGAGAACAAATACCCAAGTATCATTTTTCAATGTTCCTTTCCTTACAGAATTACAAAAATTACATAAATGCTAAACCCACTTGCATATTAGTAAACCACTTCCATTCACCCATGGATGTAATGTTTATCTGACTACAAGGCAAAAAAACAAGAACAAACAAACAAACAAAAAAAACCTGTTAAAGTTACAAACTCTGGCTTACAGAGTTTTGACAGAATGATATAACCTCTACTTGCAAAAGGAGAATTCCGTACTTCAGAGATTCACTTTAAGAATGAGTCAGTGTTAATGACCACAGATGTCTAAATGCTTATAGCATTTCTTTCATGTTGTGGATTTTTGGAAGTATAGGAATTAATTTGCACCTGGCTTACATGTGCTAGTTACAGCAATATGATTGCCTTCCAGTGCAGTTTACAAGCTCCTCTGAATGTATTTTTTTAAAAGTTTGTCCTCTCCAGCATTATACAATACCTATTCAGTGTACATTCTCACATGGCATTGTGGGGATATGAGGCTAAATGAAGGTTTTCCTACGTTGTTTACATTCAACAGAAGTCTCTCCACTTTTGAGTTTTTTCATGGCCTTTCCAAGAAAAGGGGACAGCTGAAGGCTTCTGCACATTCTCTATATTTATACGCTCTATGTATGTTCTTACATGTCCAAGAAAGGCTCTCCCACGTTCCTTATATTCGTAGACTTATTCTTGGGTGTGGCTTTGTAAGAACTAGGGCAACCCAAGGCTTTTCTACAATCTTCATATTGACAAGTCCTCTCTTCAGTGTGAGTTCTCCCATTCCATATAAAACACTGGAAGGAAGGAATGCTTTCTAACCCTCCTGACATTCCGAGGGTCCATCCTCAATCTGGAGCATCACAGGTGTCTGCACCGTTGAAACATAAATAGGGCTCTCCCACGTTCTTCACATTAACAGGGTTTCTCTCTCGAGTGTGTTTTCAGATGTTTATGTAAACTGCTTGAGTAACTGAAGATTTTGCCGCACTCCACACATTCGTAGGGCTTTTCTCCATTGTGTGTTCTTTCGTGGACTCGAGAGGACTTGAGAGAACGAAACGCTTTGCCACACTGTTTACACTCATATGGCTTCTCTTCACTGTGAGTTTTTTCATGAACTTGAAAGTAACTGAGACGACTGAAGGCTTTCCCACATTGCTTACACGCATAGGGTTTCTCCCCTGTGTGAGCTATTTCATGATTTCTAAGGGAAGTAGGATAACGGAAAGCTTTGCCACATTCCTTACATTCATAGGGCTTCTTTCCATCATGAGTCCTCTTATGGCTTTTGAGATATTTGAGAGAACTGAAGGCTTTCGCGCAGTCGTTACATCCATAGGGCCTTTCTCCGTGGTGTATCATTTCATGGTGTCGAAAGTTTCTTGGGCATCGGAATTCTTTCCCACACTCTTTACATGTAAAAGGTCCATCTCTAGTGTGCTTGATCATGTGTCTTTGAAATATGAGGAGGGAACTCCAGGCTTTCCCACACTTCTTACACTCATAGACTTTCTCTTGAGTATGAGTTCTTACATGTCGACATAAGTTACTCAAATACCTGTAGGCTTTACCACATTTTGTACATTCATAGGGTCTTTCTCCGCTGTGTTTCTTTTCATGTACATTAATATATCGGAGATGCTTGAAAGCTTTCCCACATTCCTTACATTTATAAGGCTTCTCTTCATGTTCCTCACACTGGTAGATCTGGGGTCCAGTGTCAGAGCTCACAAGGTTATTAAAGGATAAATAACGCATGAAGACTTGTCTACACAACCTAGATGTGGGTGGTTGTATTTCAGGAGTTTTCTTCCTTTCATTAGGATTGGGAATCTGTCTGAAGTTCTCTCTGCATTGACTACCATCCTTCCTTGTACAGAGTCTCTCTACCATATGACTGCTGTAAAAATCAGAAGCACGTTATTAATACTTTGCTTATTAATGATGTTATATTTACTACTAGTATGAAAGTGACATTTTTACCATTTTTAAGGAAAGTGTGGGGTTTCTGTACATTCCGGTTGTTTGCGCGTGGATATACTAAGAGCCTCGATGGAGAACTCAATCATAGATAGTATGAAAATAGTCATAGTCATTAATAGTGTTTCTGAATAGTGTTTCAAGTGTACTTTTAAAAAAAATCCTTACCTGAGAATATATGTTTATTGAGTTTGAGAGAGAGAGAGAGAGAGAGAGAGAGAGAGAGAGAGAGATATCAATGTGATAAAGAAACATCAATTGGTTGCCTCCTGCACGTGCCCCTACCAGGGATCAAACCTGCAACCTAGGTATGTGCCCTGAAAGGGAATAAAAACTGCAACCTTTTGGTATGCTAGATGACGCTACAACCAACTGAGCCCATGTGTATCTATAATCCTCATCAAAGGATTTTTCCCCCCTTTATTTTTAGAGAGAATGGAAGGTAGAGAGGAAGAGAGAGGAAAGAAGGGAGAGAGAGAGAGAGAGAGAGAGAGAGAGAGCGAGCGCGAGAGAGATAAAGAGAGAAAGACCGATGTGAGAGAGAGACATTGATAGTTGCCTCCCATACATATCCTGATTGGGGCCAGGAATTGAACCTGCAACCCAGGAATCTGCCCTTGACTGGGAATATTAGATCACATATTAAGATTATCTTGTAGAACATTGCTTTCTCATGGCAGTGTGACTCACCTAAGATTCATTCCATGATGTTCATACCGATCTTCATTGTCACGGTCTCCACAGTTTTCTTCTAAACTACATGCTAGAAAAAAAAACATCATAAATTATTAAAAATTACTAGTATAAAAAATGGTTAGACTTTAGGTCCATGATGAGCTGTGAGCATGCCTAGTTTAATTATCAATGTACTCCCTTTCCACATTTCAGTTCCTGAAGCAGCATTGATGAGCAAGCAACACAGTTTTCTAATTGACTAAATAAATGAAAAGTTGTCATCACTACCTACTGATGCCAGGTTCCAGAAGGTTTCCAACATCACATCCGTGTAGAGTTTCTTCTGGGTGGGATCCAGGAAAGCCCACTCCTCCATGGTGAACTCCACATTAACATCCTCAAAGACCACGGAGTCCTAAAACATCCAACACATGTATATGGATGAGAGACCCAGCACTGGGGATCTAGACATATTTCATAAGACGTTCACATAGGACATGAGGTCCCCAACATTCCTTCTATGACTTGCTTGTCATACTATTATTCATTGGCCACACTCAGATCCTCATAAACACATGGAATTTATTGATATGATTTTATTGTGATCACTTAAAGTCTCCATTGCCCTCAAATGTCAGAGTAAAGACCACTTTGAAAAAAATTCAAATAACATAATATTCCTATATTAAGTACATCAATTCCTGTGAGAAAACTCATCTTTTTAAAAATATATATTTAGTTGTATTTTAATATATATCGATATTTGTATTGATTTTTAAAAGGAAGGGGGAGGGAGAGATAGAAGCATCAATGATGAGACAGAATCACTGATTGGCTGCCTCCTGCATGCACCACACTGGGGACTGAGCCTGCAACTCAAGCATATGCCCTGACCGGGAACCGAAACGTGACCTCCTGGTTCATCGGCCGACACTCAACCACTGAGCCATGCTGGCCAGGCTAAAATATGTTTGCCAATTTAGGGAATGTTAATTGCTTACTTTTGTCTTTCTACTCCCTACCTGATCCCCCCAGATTTTGGCACTAAGACTTTATGCAAAGTAGGTCCAAGTGGTCATCAGCTACTGTTTTCTCATGTAAAATATCCATACACATGCAATAACTCTTTTAAACATCGCCAGCCATTAACTGTGGGAAAATGATAAACAATTAAAATACGAAGTCTGTTTTATTAAAATGGAGAGAACAGGGAGAATCAAGCTGGCGGGTAGGTAGACAGCAGTACTCGCCATCTCCCACACCCACATCAAAATTACAAGTAAAATACAGAACCACCATCCTTCAGAACCACCCGAAAGCTGGCTGAATGGAAGTCCTACAACCAGAGAAGAAAGCACATTGAGACTATAGGAGGGGTGGAGGCGCGGGATGAGCTGATCCGACACCCACACGTGCCAATGTTTTAATCAGGAGGGAGATCATGTCTGCAGAGGCCACATGTGAGGAGCAAGGCGTCCCAGCCCCACACCGGTCCCTCAGCCCAGGGCTCCAGAGCTGGGAAAAGAAATCCCCACAACTACAGGCTGTAAAAACCAGCGGGGACTGTGGCTGAGTGACATGAAGTTTGCTGGAATCCCAAGTGTTCCTCTTAAAGGGCCCATGCACAAACTTACACAGTCCTACTTCTTCTGAGTCCAGTGCTGGGGGACTTAGACACACATGAGGAAGAACTGGATTGTCTGACATCAGGGCAGGAACTTGTGGGTGGCTCTCTCCCAACTGGGGGGTGCTGGCAGGGATCACTGTTTCTGTGCTGGGATCTCCCCTGTGGCAGGCCTGACTGGCAGCCATTTCTGAGTCTCCCTCAGTCTGGAGCACACTGTTTGCTCCGCCCTGATAAATCCCCTTCACCTAGTGCAGTGGTCGGCAAACTGCAGCTCGTAAGCCACATGCGGCTCTTTGGCCCCTTGAGTTTTTAGCAAAGGCCAGCTTAGAACCCTAATTAAGTTCATAACAATGTACCTAACCTATATAGTTTAAGTTAAAAAAAACTTGGCTCTCAAGAAATTTCAATCGTTGTACTGTTGATATTTGGCTCTGTTGACTAATGAGTTTGCTGACCACTGACCTATCGTAGTACATAGAATAAAACACAAAAAAGCAAGCAGCCAAAATGGGAAGACAAAGAAACGTCACAAATGAAAGAAATAGAAGAAAGCAAACTATTGGATACAGAGTTCAAAACCATGGCTGGCTGAATTTGCACCTCCTTAAAGACCCGAGAGCCAGTGGTCAGTGTGAGACCATACTAGATTACAACTCTTCACATCCATAAGAGACACACTCAAGGGGCAGACTCAGTGAGCACCAAGTCCTGCCCCATTAGGATGTCTCCAGCACGGCAGCTCTTCCATTGTAGACACAGCTGGACCTCACAGCCAGCTGGCCTGGAGGTCAATTCCTCCCAGTGATACCAGCAGCAATCAAGGCTTAACTACAACAAGACTGTGCACACAGCCCACAAAAGGGTGCACCAAGAGCGTCTACCTCAGATGACTGGGGACGCTGAGCCACTGGGCCCTTTAGGACACCAACTACACAAGGCCATTCGATCAACTCAAGGAAACTTAGCAGCTACTCAGTACATAGAAACTAACACAAGGAAGCAGCCAAAACGCAAAGACAAAGAAAAATGCCACAAATGAAAGAAATGGAAGCAAGCATACTACTGGATATAGAATTCAAAACCATAGTTATAAGTTTTCTCAAGAATCTTCTAAAAACCTCGGAAGGAAGGAAGGAGGGGAGGAAGGAAGGAAGGGGACCAGTCAGAAATTGAGCATTCACTGATTGAAATAAAGAATAATATACAGCCCTAATGGGTTTGACTCAGCCTGTGGACTGAAAGGTCCCAGGTTCGATCCTGGCCAAGGCATGTACCTTGGTTGTGAGCACATCCCCAGTGAGAGGTGTGCAGGAGGCAGCTGATCGATGTTTCTCTCTCATCAATGTTTCTAACTCTCTATTCCCTTCCTCTCTGTAAAAAAATCAATAAAACATATATTTAAAGAAAATAATATACAAAGATTCAATGCTAGACTAGCGGATCCAAAGAATCAAGTCAAAGATTTGAAGTACAAGGAAGCAAAAACACCCCTTTGTGGGCTGTGTGCACAGTCTTGTTGTATCAATAGTTAAGCCTTGATTGCTGCTGGTATCACTGGAAAGAACTGACCTCCAGGCCAAGATGGGCTCCCCAGATTCAGGGGTGCATGCCTGAATGTAACTTCAGTTTCAACCTCTCCCAGGAGTAAAACATTAAACCAATCACTGCAACCTGCTGTTCACTAATCCCTTTAAATGCCTCCTGCTGTTCCTTCCCCTAAAAAAATGGGACCCTGCCTGAAACACTACTTTAACCTCTTAAAAAAAAAAAAAAAAAAAAAAAAAAAATATATATATATATATATATATATATATATATATATATATATATAATTTATATATTATTTATTTATTTATTTTTTTACAGAGGAAGGGAGAGGGATAGAGAGTCAAACATCGATCAACTGCCTCTGCACACCTCCCACTGGGGATGTGCCCACAACCAAGGTACATGCCCTTGACCAGGACCGAACCTGGGACCTTTACAGTCCGCGGGACAAGGCTCTATCCACTCAGCTAAAGCGGTCAGGGCCTGCTTTAACCTCTAATGACGCCTCCTTTCTGCCTATTGTACACACCTTCCATTTGAACAGCTCCTCTGAGATGCTATTTGCCAGATGAGATGCGACCTTCCACTTACTCAGTTGAATCTTGTTTTTAACCGTTTGAAAAGCACCAGAAAACAAACAGCTGATAACGATGCTGTGACTCAGGAGGGAAGATGGGGCTCAGGGTCCGGGGAGAGGCTGGGAATGCAGGCATTGGCTGCAGAGCAGGGCCTGGGGGCCGGGGGGACTGGAGAGCCTGCCCCACACACATCACACCCAGGAGAACACGGTCCCTCTGGGGGGAAGGAGGGACAGGCCACAGACCACAGCTCCCCCCGTGCACGGACCGCGGAGGCCGAGCCCCAGGTCCCCACGGACCCTCCGCGCGGCCCCGCACCCGCTGCGGAGCCCGGGCTGTGGGCGCGGAGCCGCCCGGACTCGCTCCGCAGCCCCAGGCCCCGCCGCGGGGACGCCCTGGACCCGGGTCCCGGCGGGGCCCCCTGCGAGCCCGAGGGGCCTGCAGCCTCCGCGGAGCCCGGGCGCCTGGGGTCCGCAGCCCGGACCTGCCCGCGGACAGACGGTCCCCGGCGGCTCCCCGCCCTCCTGCCGCCTCCGCGCCCGGCCGTCACTCACCATGTCCGTTCCCGGCCCGAGTCCCCTGCGGCCCCACAGAGGAGGACGGAGCGAGGGAGAGGCGATCCCGGTGCAGCTGAAGGGAAAGGAACATCCGGGAGCGTAGCCCCACCCACCTGGCGCCCAGCTCAGCTGCAGACACTTCGCAGACAGCGCCCCCTAGCGCCCGAGGTGCACAGGCCTGAGCCCAAAGCAGCCACAGCTCCTGTCCAGGACGTTTGCCCTGAGAGGCAGGGCTGAGAGTCCCCAGGGAACAGAGGTCCTTCCTTGCAAACACACACCCTGAAAAGGCACCTGATGAATTTGGCTCCATTTTGATCGTTGTTGACAACTGGAATCTGACGTGTGCATTTGCCAAAAGGTTCTAATAAAGAGCAGTGAAACCAAAAACAAGCCATCTTTTCTGGAGAGGAGACAGGAATGAGTATTTAGAATGGTTAATTTTAGAACATGTTTAGGACATGGCAGTCCCTCCATAGAGTATTCAGCTTCCTGTCATTATTTCTTCAAATATGTTTTCAATATCTTATTCTCTCTCTTCTTCTGACACCCTCATAATTCGGATGTTGCTACACTTAAAGTTGTCTCAGAGGCTCCTTCCACCATCTTCATATTTTTTTATTCTTTTTTCTTTTTGCTCTTCCAGTTGGGTGTTTTTTGCTTCTTTGTATTTCAAATCTTTGGCTTGATTCTTGGGATCCTCTAGACTGCTGTTGGATCTCTGTATATTATTCTTTATTTCAGTCAGTGTATGCTTAATTTCTGATTGGGCCTTTTTTCATATCCTTGAGGGTCTCACTAAATTTCTCAGGTTTCTAGATTTTTGAGTAACCTTATAACCAGAGTTTTGAACTCTATATCCAGTATTTTGCTTTCATCCATTTCTTTCAGTTGTGACTTCTTTGTCTTCACAGTTTGGCCGCTTCCCTGTGTTAGTTTCTATGTACTGAGTAGCTACTAAGTCTCCTTGAGTTGATTGAGTGGCCTTGTGTAGTTGGTGTCCTAAAGGGCCCAGTGGCTCAGCCTCCCCAGTCACCTAAGGTGAACACTCTTGGTGCACCCCTTTGTGGGCTGTGTGCAGTCTTGTTGTAGTTAAGCCTTGATTGCTCCTGGTATCACTGGGAGAAATTGACCTCCAGGCCAACTGGCTGTGAGGACCAGCTGTATCTACAATGAAAGATCTGTTGTGCGGGAGACACCCTTGTGGGGCAGGACTTGCTTCAGTTGGACTTTGGTGCTCACTGAGTCTGCCCCTGGAGTGTGTCTCATGGATGTGAAGAGTTGTAATCAGGTATGGTCTCACTCTGACCATTGGGTAATTGGCTCTTGGATCTCCAAGGAGGTGCAAGATCAGCCTCTGCTGCTGCCAGGTAGTGTCCCTTCTTTTGGAAACTCTGGGGCTCTCTGCAGTTTGTTTTAGGCAAAAGGACAGGCCATTCATATGCAAAAGCCTATGCACACAGCTTGGGTAGGGTTGTAAATTGGGTGGAGCAGGGTCTCTGGGAATCACAAGGGTGGAGCAAACAGCAATGGCTGCCCTGAACGGGAGAAATCCCTGGTTCTCTGTGCCCTTGTGTAGGAACAATGATCTCTGTGAGCACTTCTAAGAGTAAGCCGCCCTCGCATTCCTGCCCCGATGCCAGACAGTCCATTATCTCCCTGTATGTGTCTGGGTCCCCCAGAGTCTCACCCGGAAGTGGGAGCTTGTGTCTCCCTCCCACTTTAAAGAGCAGCACATCCAGGTGATCCACATCTCTTACTGGTCTCAATGAGCTTTCTTCACCTCTCTAGCTGTGGAACTTCCTCTCAGGCAGCTTTCCCACGGTTCTGGGTGGGAGTTATTCTGACATTTAGTTGTGGTTTTGATGTGGTTGGGGAAGGCAGCAAGTGTATGTGATTATCTGTGCTGCCATCTTGGTTTCTCCCTAGTACTATTAACAGCATTATTTCCTATAAAAATTACATCTTATACGGATGTAGTCTAGAGAAGAGGGGATTCACACATAAGCACAAAAGACATCAGTTTCCAGATGAACACACAATGGCTTACAGAAAAATCCAAACTGATGGATCTTTTATGTGAATCTTCAGAAAACATCACTGGAAACCTACTCTTCTAAAAAAGTGTAAATCAAGTAACTGATGGTGGTTATGAGGATAGTCTTAATAAGAAGGGCGAAGGATCAACTCAGAAGTCTCATACAATTGTCTCTTCCCTGTGTGGTGGTTTCAGAATCTGACAAGTGTATTACTCAGTTATCCTTTTCAAACTCAAGCGAGTGGGGCTACTTGTGAATCCTAAAGTGGAACCTCAAAGGAGATGAATTCTAAAAAAATCTAGGTCCTAACATTACTGACAGGGGAGTGGATTTCTCCAACTCTAGTTTTGTGAGTTTTTTTCCTTCTACAGGTCTCTCTCCTTTTCATGTCTCTTAAAGTCTATTCCACAAATAACCAGTCAGAATAAAGAACAATAAGGACCCCAAAGTGAAAATATTAATTTATATGAAACTATATTCATGAACTTGCTATACATAAAATTTATTCCAAGTGTTTATTATTATGTACAAAGGCTTTTACACCTGTCACCCCAGAAAAAAGAGCTTCTTCAATAAAAAACGGTAGACAATATTAGTGGACTAAGGATACCCAGAACTGTACAAAGCCAATAGGAAAATCCCAACAAACACCGAACTGTCATTTTACAATGGCACCTTCACACAGGACAAATAAAACAGTATAAAAAATTCTAACCTAAATGCACATTAGAAATATACTTCAGTTCACCCAGAGACCTAACAGGCTTCAAAATGGAAAGAAACTATTAACTCATTCAAGGAAAAAGCATGATCTAGTAATTTTATGTACCATTGCTAAAAGAAAACTCCCAGTTATATCACCCTCAATATTTATTTCTTAAATTATAAATCTATATTGCAATGATGCATTTTACAAAACAAGCTTGATAAACCCTATGTATATACAAACTTAAGATGAATAAAAGAGATGAATTCTTTCATGTTGAAATTTATCTGGAACATTTTACATGGATTAATTTCTATGAAACTTTCTCATGTCACATATAGTTTTCTCTCTTTTCCCTGAGATTTTTTTCACATGTAAGGATGTGTGCACACTGAAGCCCTTCCCACACTGTTTATGTTCAAAGGTTTTATCCAGTGATTCCTTTTATGCTATTGGAAGGAATTGGGATGACATGTCTTCCCCACATTCAGATATAGTGTATCTGAAAACTTCCCACATTCCCTTATATAACTATTATTTAAAATTTATTGATCTTTAGAGACTGGGAGGAGGATAGAAACATCAAAGAGATAGAACCATCAATGTTGTTTGGCTGACTCCTGCATGTTCCCCACTGGGGATCATGCTCACAACCTGTGTATGTGCCCTGACGGAGAATCAAACTGGCAACCTTGTTGCATGGGTGAATGCTCAACCACTAAGCCATACCAGCTGGGTCCACATCTCCTTTTATACTAAATTATGAGTATTACTCAAAATGATGGCCTCTCCCTACAGGTCACTTCATACAATCAAATTAATACCTGGATGATTGCCTTCACAGACTCATTCCCCTTTCCTTTTTGGTGTTTCCACTTGGGAAAAACATTGGGCTTGCATAGATACCATGCTGTTCATAGGGAAAAAAAATCAGGATGGCATAGAAAGGTGCATGCTCTCTGCTGTTCAATAGTTTGTGTGCAAAATGGAAGCTTTCCCACATTTTTTACATTTAGAGTCTCTCTAGTGTGATTTCTTTCATGTCTTTGAAAACCTTATAGAGGAATGGAAAGCTTTAACTCATTGCCTACGTTCATGGTGTTTCTCTCCTGAGTCTTTTCATGTTTTCAAAAATAACTGAGACAACTGAACTTTTCTACATGTTTTATAGTCATAAAGTTTCTCTCCAATGTGACTACTTTTGTTTTTAAATACATGAAATTGCTGAAACCATTGCCACATGCTTATATTCATAGGGTTTTTCTGTGTGCATACTTTCATGTTTTTTAAGACAATTAGGACAACTGAACTCTTCCATGTTTTACATTCATGTGTCTCTCTAGTGTAACTTCTTTCATGTGTTTTTAAGAAAGTGTGATACTATAACATTTATCATATTGCATACATTCATAGGGTTTCTCTCATGTGTAAGACCTTTCATGTCTTCAAAGATAATTAAGGTGGTACATCTACACAATGGAATACTATGCTGCGGTAAAAAAAAAAAAAAAAAAGGGGGAGTTCTTACCATTTGCAATAACATGGATGGAGCCGGAGAGCATTTATGCTAAGTGAAATAAGCCAGGCAGAGAAAAATATCACAAAATCATACTCCTTTATGGAAAATAATGAACAACATAAACTGATGAACAAAAACAGATCCAGAGACAAACATCGATCAGAATGTCAAACCTAAGGGAAGGTAGGGAAGGGTGGGGGTAAGGGCGAGAAATCAACCAAAGGACTTGTATGCATGCAGATAAGCCTAACCAATGAACAGAGACAACAGGGGAGTAAGGGCATGAATGGGGGGAGGGGTTCAGGAGGTAATGGGGGAATGAGGACACATGTAATACCTTAATAAATTAAACAAGAAAAAAAGATAATTAAGACAAGTGACCTCTTTTCACGTTTTACATTCATAGGGCTCCTCTCCAATGTGACTTCTTTTGTACTTTTAAGGAAGTGTGGTTGTTATAACCTTTATCACATTGCTTACATTCATGGTGTTTCTCTGCTATGTAAATCCATTCATGTGATTCTAAGGTAGTGTAATATCCGGCTTTAATACATCATCCATATTCCTAAGGTTTCTCTTCGGTGTGATCTCTTTTTATGTTTTCTAAGATAATTGGGACTGCCGAATGCTTTCCTACATATTGTACACTCGTAGGGCTTTTCTCCTGTGTGACTTCTTTCGTGTGTTTTGAAGGAAGTGTAATCGCTGTAACATTTACCACATTGCTTACATTCATAGGGTTTCTCTCCCGTGTGAATTCTTTCATGTCTTCGAAGATTATTAAGACAATGAAACTCTTTTCCACATGTTTTACATTTATAGGGCTTCTCTCCAGTGTGAGACCTT